CCATTTACTGGCAAATGCTATAATTTTGCTCTTGTATAAAACTGAGTAATATTCCATTGAGTATATATGCCACATTTTATTTATCCATTCATCTAATGAGGGACACCTAGGTTGATTCCATAGTCTAGCTATTGTTAATTGAGCTGCTATAAACATTGTTGTGGCTGCATCACTATAGTATGTTGATTTTAATCATGTTTAAATAGTCACACATAGCAAATGAATACCATATGGGACAGTATAGTTCCACATCTCTACCTGAAATACAGGTAAATGCATGAAGCAGAACAGAGACCTGCTTCTGCCACTAGATTCCAAACTCTGGAATGGAGGTGACCATTCATTGATAACTAACCACTTAGACTTATCATAACTCAGTAGTACACATGCATATCATTGGAGGACTTTGTCAAATGCCTTGTAAAATCAGGATGCTCTGTATATGTAGCATTGCCCTGCTCTACCAGTCTAGTATTTTATTTTCAGAAAATAGTGGGTTTTTTCCTATTTGAAGAAGTAATATATGCCTACCATGGCAAAATAGAGGAAATTAACACTGACCATTTCTAGATAATTACTATTAACATTTCAGCAAAATTTTTGTGTCTATTTTTCTATGCCGAGAGCATACATTCTCCATTACTTGCACACTGCTTTATTTTTTATTCGAATTTTTAAATTTTTCATTTTTCTGCCAGGTGCGGTGGTGCATGCCTGTAATCCCAATGGCTCCGGAGGCTGAGACAGGAGAATTATGAGTTCAAAGCCAGCCTCAGCAAAAGGCGAGGCACTAAACAACTCAGTGAGACCCTGTCTTTAAATAAAATACAAAATAGGGCTGGGGATGTGGCTCAGTGGTTGAGTGCCCGAGTTCAATCCCAATTGAACCAAAAATTTGATACATATATCATGTACAAAATGTTGTTCTGAAATATATATACATTGTGGCAAGGCTAAATCATGTTAACCTATGTATTATTTCACATACTGATTTTTGTGGGGAAAATACTTAAAATCTATTCTCTTAGCAATTTTCAAGAATACAACTCATTAGTATTAATTATTGTCCTTATGCTGTACAAAAGAGCTCATAGACTTATTTGTTCTAATTGGAGTTTTTTTTACCATTTGACCACCATCTTCTTAATAGCACCACACCCCCCACAAGCCCCCACCAGTAACCACCAGTTTGCTCTCTGCTTCTATGAATTCAACTTTTTTGGATTCTACATATGAGATCATGTGGTGTTTGTCTTTATGTGCCTGACTCATATGTCCTCCAGGTTCATCCGTGTTGTCACAAATGACAGCATTTCCTTTAAAGTTGAATGGTATTCCATTATGTATTATACCACATGTTCTTTATCCATGCATTTGTTGATGGAATTTAGGTGATTTCAAATCTTGGCTGTTGTGAATATTCCTGCAGTGGACATGGGAGCAAATATCTCTTCAACATACTGATTTCATTTCAACATACTGATTTCATTTCATTTGGATATGTACCCAGTAGCTGGATTGTGGTAGCTCTACATTTAATTTTTTGCTTTTTTTTTTTCAGAGTAGAGATTAGAAATTTATTAAAGGACAGAAGAAAAGACTTCTCCCAGAGGAAGAAGGGGACCCAAGAGGTGGAATCCCTAATTTTTTGCTTTTTTTTATTGATGATATTGTATCACATTATTAAATACTTTTCAAAAACATCTTCAAATACTATATAATATGACTGGGGCTGTAGCTCCGTTGTAGAGCACTTGCCTAGCACATGTGAGGCACTGGGTTCAATCCTCAGCACCACATTAAAAAAATAAAATTATTTTTTAAGAAAAGCAAAGGCCTTTCATCTTGTCAAAGAGTACAGGACCTGAAAAAAAATGAATACATTTTTTAAAAATACTGTATAATAGTTCACTGTAGCAATAATCAATAATTTGCATAACTATCCCCTTCTGCTGTACTTTTAGGTTGCATCTGATTTTGTTTTTGAATAAAGAATTAATGATAGCTCTACATCATGTACAACCAGAAGAATGAAAAGTTATACTCCATTTATGTATGATGTGTCAAAATGCATTCTACTGTCACTATAACTATTGGAACAAATACAAAAAAGAATTAATGAACATCTTTTTGTGCAAAATAACTATCTATAATTTGCATTATTTGCTTAGGATAAACTTCCTGAAGAATATGAACATTGTTAAAGTTAATTCTTTCACAGGAAAAGATGAAGTTAATCCTCATGAGGACTCATAGTAGTCAATTTTTCCCTTTTGATGTGTAAGTCTRTTTTAGCAACTCACCCCAACATTAGTGTCACATTCACCACCATTGTGCTTTTAAAATTCCAATTTCTTAGACTTTTTGAAAATCAGGAATTCTTTGCCTTCCTCTGCGGTATTCTTGCAGCATCCCTGTTCATTGAGTTTCCTTGAAGATGAAGTTATCTGTGAGTCCCCTCAGTAAACCTGGACATAATTTATCCAAGTTTGAAGGTCTGAGCTCTTCTGGGGCAGCAAGCTATTTTCTTACAACCTTTTTCTGTAGTTGGAGTTTCAATTCCTCTTACCAATATTGTTCTTCAACTTTCTTCCCTGATGATCATTCTTCTTATTATTCTTATTAAGGTAACCAAAGGAGTCTGTGCAGAGACTTATTAGCTACTGGGCAAAATCCATGTTCTCTGCTTTCTGAGTGTACAGCTGGATGATGTTTCCCAGACTTCCCTGCAGCTGGCTGTGTAATTGTTTCAGCCCATGGGGCACGTGCAGTAGTGCTGGGTGCCACCATCAGGCCTGGCCAATTAAACCCCACGTGGGCTGGAACTGACACCCCCCATAACCTTGGAAGCCACAAGATCAAGATGCCAGAGCCTTTGTGTAGCAGAGGAGCACCTGGTTGACCCATTTAGCCTGTTGCTGTGGCTTGTCTTCCATGGGTTCATGTGTTGGAAGTTTGGTCTCCAGTGTGGTGATGTTGAGAAATGGTGGGACCTTTAAAAGGTGAGGCCTAATGGGAGGTGATAAGGTTATTGGGAGCATTGAACTMGGATGAGATTAATGCTGGTCTTGAGAAATGAATTAGTTCCCCCAGAATAAGTTATTATAAAAGCATGAGTCTGGCTCCTCCCTGATCCTGGCTTCCTGTCTCACTAGGTGATTGCTTTTGGAGATGCCTCCACCATTGTTATGTCATCCACAATGAGATCCTCACCAAAGCCTGAATTGATGGGGCTGTCTAATCTTGGATTCTAAGTGCCCCAAACTCAGCTAAATAAACCTTTTCTTTATACAATATTCAGTCTTGGGTATTTTGTTCCAACAACAAAAATGGATAGGATATCCTCCTGCTTATTTGATTCTAGACCTGTTTTTCTCTTATCCCTTTTTAGGATTTGTAATTTACATCCTCATTTAGTTCTACCTGAGCTGACTTTTCCTTTAAGCTTGGATCATGCGATCAATCATGCCTAAGTTTTCTCAGATTTCTTGAGATTTTCTTCCCATTTCTTGGTACAGAGTCAAACTACCAGACTCCCAGATGATGGTAATCTTTATCTCCCTTTCAGTTTACAACCAGATACCCCCTTTTTGGGAGAATTAGATCAAAATGGTGCTCTCTTCCTCATTTTCTCTGCTTCCAAAGATGTGGATTTGTCGTTTGGACAAGTATTTAGCAGAAATTTAATTTCAGTTTTAAAAGAGTGAGAATAAAATATCTATAGCCACAATTGCCTGGTACATAGTGAAGGTGAATCTTGCTTAACATCTTACTCTGCAACTTATCTAAATTTGTATGGCTGAGTTTGGCAGAAGAGATGATAGAAAAATAAATGACTCTACAGAATAAAACAAGAATTTGGAGTTCTGGAGGCAATACAAAAGAAATGGATAAGGAAGAAAGATGAGAGAATAAAGAGAGAGGCCAGACCACTCCACTTGGGGAATCAGCCTATGAATAAAGGAGGTCCATGGTGATTCATTTGGAGTTGTTCCCCTGAAGGGGCTGACAAAAGCAATGGACAGGGACAGCCTAAGGCTAGTGAGATAGTCTGCACACTAAATTCAGCAGATGCAAGGGCTCAGAGACATAGTAGACAGCAGTGTAAGCCTCTTTCCACCTTCCACTCAGGTCTCCCTCCAGGGACTGGCCAAACTTTTGAGGAGGACTTTAGACTCCCACTAAATGCGGAATAGAAGTTTGAAACAACTTTATTCAGAAAGGCTCCAGCTGATATCTGAGCGATTGAAAAATAATACTACAGATAATATCATAAAATAAAAATTAAGATCTAAGTAGGTAGGTCAGGTTTGTGGTCCCTTAAAATGCAAAAGCCCAAAGAGATTAATGTACCTAGGGGACCTGGTATAATGGCCAGGCTCTGCTCTGCTCTCAGGTTCTTTGGTTTCTTCTTCAATGTCCAGGGAGAGGAAACAGTGGCACCATGGTAGAGGCAGGATAGCTCCTCATTCCCTCTCTCCCCAGACACCAGGCACTCCCAGTCCCTCTAAGGCTTAATTTTTCCCTGAGCAATTTCCATAGGGCCTTGGGGCTTATCAGTAATTACTTCTATCAATGGTCTGAGCTCAGGGGAATATATGTAGAAGAAAGGAAGAGGTTTCCACCATCTGGTAGACAGATAGATTTTCCCTAGTAAGGGGAAGCATGTAAGAAAAAAAGTTTATGAATAAGTTCATCAGTTGTCCTAAAGATATATTATCTGATATCAGAAGATTTTCTTTGTTCCTATCAAATATTTAGGCACCAGATAAGAAGAATGAATCCAAGGTAGAAAGACACAGGGACCAACAGGGCAGCCATATGGAAGAGTTTGTTTATCTGACCCACTCTTCTCCTCTTGTCCAGATAAGGACACATGTTTGTGTGTTGACTGATGAGGACAGGAGGAGGTTTCCTGAGTGCAAAATGCCAGGCAAACCCTGAGATAAAAAGTCATAAATAGACCCAGAGGCTGACCCAGAGCCAGGCTCAGTGTCCTTGGGCTGGTAGGACTTGTAGGCTAGGTCCCAAGAGGCTGGGAGAGGGGCTGGGGATGAGCGGCTGCTGTGGAAATTTCCATGAGCTGCCCACCAGCTTTTGGGACACACTGGACTCCATGTGGCTTGGGGAGAACCTGGGTTATGAAAGAGGTACAAGACGTGGTCCCAGCTCATGAGGAGCTAAGTCCCTGGAGAAAGGAGTCAGAGTGCTTGCCAAGAAAGCAAGTGAACAAACAGGTTTCAAAATCTTAAGCCAAAGTTGAAAATAAGGTCAAGGCATGGAACAGAGCCAGGAAAAGTCAATATCACCTTCCAATTATTAGAACCCCATTTCACCTCCTAAGGAGAATGTTGAAAATACTTCATATTAAGGTAAAAGATGATTTTATTTCTTTAAATACTAACAAATGGATCAAATATTAATGTTTAAAATGCTTTTATTAGTGTATTACAGTTATACATGATAGTTGGGTTCATTTTGACATAATCATAAATGCATGGAATTTAATTTGCTCTATTTCAGTTCCCAGTGCCTCCTCTCTCCCTCTCCTCCTCCCTTCCTCCAACAATATAATAATTTTTAGAAGGAAAAAGTATTTACAATATATTATCACTTGCCAGAGCCTTAGATACTCTTATTAATTCGAGTTAAAATTACAAAATCATTTTTAACACAAAAATTTTTTTAAAAAGAAAAGAAAATTGTCAAAAGATGTTTAGAGCTATAGCTTGGTGGTAGAACAATTGTCTAACACGTGTAAGACCCTGAGTTCAATCCTCAGTGCTGAAAAAAAAAATGGCATCAGTTCTTTGACTTGGCAATTTTTACCAAAAAGTTTTAAGTATACAATTTTGTAAAAGCAGAAGTCACAACCCTCCCAGGAATTGAAGGTGTGTGTTCTTCTCTAAGAGGATTCAGATATTGTAAATGTGTGAATGTGGGTGCATACACTTACATACAACATTTGAACCCACAGCACTCACCAAAATGCTGCCTTCTTTCTACAGTTTAGATATAGTTTGAGTATGTTCCCTAGGATTTATATGTTGGGAGCTTGGTCTCTACTGTGGCAGTGCTGAGAGCTGGTGGGACCTTTAAGAGGAGGGGCTTAATGGGAGGCTCTTAGGTCACTGGGGGAGCCATCCTCAGAAGATATTAAGGTAGTTCTCCTGGGACCCCTGAACTTTTATAAGCCCAACCCCTTACTCCTCAGGCTTCCTGTTTCCATGTGATCATTTCCCACATGCACTTCTGCCACAATCCATCTGTCATTAGACCTTTACCAGAGAACAAACCAATGGGGCCACAGGATCTCAGACTTTCAACCTCCAAAACTGATGAATACAATTTCCAAGGCACTGGTTAGAATGTGTTTGTCAGCAAGAGAAAACACAAAGAGGCTTTATTGGTTCACATAACTAAACAGTAAAGTGTTAGGGGAGACTTCTTATATGTTTTAATCAGGGCTGCAGCTCCATTTCTTTCTCTGACTCTCTCTGCCTGTACTCCTTTGTGGGCTAGATTGCCATATGGCTGTGAACAGCAACTTGTGCTCCAATGAGTCTAGGGACAAAGAAGCTATTGCTTCCTGTAGCCACTGCACAGAAATACTGAGCTTCATTTTGATCAGACCATTGCATGTCCTGTGCTAACTGGCTCAGGCTCAAACAACTTTCTTTTGGGTAAGAGGTTGAAAATGGCTTACACCCTGGGTGGGGGGCACCCCCTGGAGCTACCACTCAAACTGATGGTACCTACACAATGGGAAGGAAGAAAAGAGGTATTAAGACATTCACAATGCCTACCATACCTTAGTTGCAGTTGTTTTAAAAAATTGGTGGATTTATTTATTTATTTATTTACTTATTTATGAGGTACTTTCTAAGTATCAGGTACTTTGGGAGACATAAAGACATGAAGTTTGCCAACTATTAGATTAAAAAAGACAAGTTGACAACTGCCATACAGTGTTAGGTATAATGTGAAAAAGGCATGCAAATGCTAAAAGAAAGTCTATAAAAGTGAAGACAGATTGCTTCTAGTTGAGGTGATCAGAGAGGCATCATATAAAAGAAACATTGGAATTAGCTCTCAAGGAATGAATTGGATTTCAATGATTGCAGGTGAGAAGGGAGGGCATTGGAGGGCAAGGAAGTAACACACCAGAGGCAGGAAACCAAGGGGAAGTTGGAAAGCTGGCACATACTTGTACTCCCAAGGAGCAGGGAAACTGAGGCAGGATGATTACAAGATTAAGTCCATCCTTAGCAACTTAGACCCCTGTCTGAAAATGAAAAATAAAAAGAGCTGGGGATGCAGCTCAGTAGTAAAGTGCTCTTGGGTCAAACCTCAGTACCACAAAACAAGGGAGAATTAAACAGAGGTGGCATCCCTTAGCACAAGTTCTAGAAGTTGTTGCTAGAATGAACCATGTCAGGTTGCAAGATAATGGAGTCTTTATTTTTCCCCATAAAAATTGACTTAGGCCCCCATTTGCCTGATTAGCAGAAAGCTCAGTCTGCTCCTTCATGGGGCTCCTGAACCTTCAATTTTTCCCAGATCCAAATTGTACACAAAGTAGAGACTGGAATCAGTCTGACCTTCACTTGCAGCAGAGGCCATTGGTCCTTTCAGTCTACCGGCTGACACAAGTCCCCAGGTCTCTGTGGCTCCTCAGGGAGGATGATTCCACTTGCGTCTAGTGTGTTCCTCATCCATGGTGGTTCAGAGCTCCAATCTGAGAACTCTACACTTCAGGTAAATTCCCAGTTCCCCCAACTACTGAGTCACTAGGGACTCTGGGTAACAGGTAGTTTGGGGTATCCTGTGGATGTAGAACTCTTATCTTTTCCTGGGATCCAAAGCACTCGGAGGCAGGGAGATCCCCTTCCCTAAACAATACCACAACCCGCCTTCCCTTCTGTGGACTTCCCCTTGCCACCCATTCCTGGCTCCTCACACACACCTGAGGTTCTTAGGGTGAGGGCWCCTACCCCAAGTGCCTTACCATGACCAGGGGCTGTCAGATGCCTTTCTCATTGACTCAAAGAAAGAAAACCCAAAGTTCAACACCAGAGTGACATTCTGCTCTTGAACTCGTAGGTTCATGCCTCTTAATCTTTTCCAGGATCGCTTACTTCACCCAAGGGAGCCAGCCCTCCTGCGTTCTTTTATTGCAAGTTCACATTGACGTTTAACCTCCTTGGATATTGGCAAAAGTTGTGTCCTTGATTGGTCTTCACATATACGTTGACATCTTTTTTCCTTGCAGCAAGTCTGACCCTGCCTTGATGGCTTTTCTGCCCACAGAAGGCCCTGACTAAGCCCCACTGTGTTTCGTACACATAGCACCTCTCTTTTCTAAACTGCCCTGCCCAACCTTGCTCTTGTAACCCTGGCTCTGAATATCTCACAAATAAATGGGTAAGAGGGGCTGGGATTGTGGCTCAGCRATAGAGCGCCCCCCTAACACGGGCGGGACCCGGGTTCGATCCTCAGCACTACATAAAAATAAAGGCATTGTGTTGTGTCCATCTACACCTAAAAAATAAATATTTAAAAAAAAAAGTGGGCAAGAGATAGACCCAGAATTGGGCTCAGCTTAAGGTTTCCAGCCTCTAGAATGTCTGCCGCTTTTCTAGCTTGTAAATTTTAGGACCAAATCTGAAAATTACTTCAAAAATTATCTTAAAGCAAACAAAGCTCTTTATAAAAAGTATCCCATGACTGTCTGGAGGAGAACAAAGTGAAACATGTATTCAACAACTGGGATGGCTTCCCTCACACCCTGCAGAATTGAAAGATGTGAGAATGAATCATAGGCTCTTTTCAATTCAATTGCTACTTCCTAATTCATGTCATATAATCAGTTATTTTCCCTTCACAAAATCCATATCGAGTCAGAACAGTTGCCTGTGGTGAGTGGATGGTGCTTGAAAAGAGGAACATAAAGGAACTTTTTGGAGGCATAAAATTTCTCTTTCCCCTTAACCCCCAAGCTGGGGATAGAACTCAAGGCCTCACGCATGCTGGACAAGTACTCCACCACTGTGCTACATCCCCAGAATGACTACAGACCAATTGGTGTTGGTTACATGATGTTTTCATTTGTAAAAATGTATGCATTGTAGACTGAAGATCTGTGCATTTTGCTGAATGTAAATTATCTCAATGTAAACAGAAAATTTAAACCAATGATTCTGACACATGTGGCTAATGTCCTTCTGCTACAGCATGTTGAAAAGAAATTATTCTGAAAGAAAAAAAACAATAGACTCTTGAGATGGCAGACACGCTCCATGCACAGGGTAAGTAAACAGGAAGAGAAACCACAGGTCTTGTTAATGGGCTCAGCTGGGATGTTTCCAGTTGTGGGAGCTGAGCCTCTTCTGTAATGTGCTTAATCACTTCTAATTGTGCAGTCAGCTAATTACAGTAATTAGTCTTGCCTTGGTTCAACAGGGTTGGGAATTCCTTTACATCATTCTCTTAAGGATGGGGTTGGCTCTTCCTCAAGTTTGGTTGTCTTCTTCAAATTGTGGCATGTGAACTCCTGGGGTCCCTGACATGATCTGTTGGCCTTGCATTTTCAGCACTGAGTGCTTGGGGATGGGTGACTAATCTTGGAGCCAGTGAGTCATATGTCTCAGGCCTGAGCACAGCGGGAGCACTTGGGCTCAATCCTGGCACCCCTCTCGGTTCACCGACCCAGCCCCACTTAGGTCCAAATTAATCACATTTTGAAAATAGGATTATTCACTACAGCACTGTTTGTAATAGCAAAAGAATAGAAACAGTCTGCCTGCCAGGAGATTGGTAAACTAAATTAGGATTCATCCATATACTGCAACACTGAGAAAAAATGATGAGGATGCTTTTTTGCACTGATTTGGAAAGAGCTTCAAGCTGGTATTGTTAAATGAAAAAAGAAGATCAGACACATAATATGGCCATGGCTATAAAAGTAGTGTAGGTTTGTATTTGCTTGTACCTGTATAAGGACACTTTGAAAAGAGAAGTGGATAGGAGACAAATGAAATTTAGGGTTTTTTTTTAAATAATCAAGTGAATTTGTTACCTAATGAAAGACTGAAATCAATTAATTAAAATGTTCAAAAGGGTTTTTTTTTTCTTTTTTAAGTAGGAAAAAGTGTTAAGGGAAGGAGTTCCATGATCCCTCAATATGGCATTGCCCAAATTGTGGTTGTGAAGGTAGAATGGGAAATTCATCTATATTTAAAACAGTGATGGAAGCTGGGTATTTTGTTTGTTTATTTGATGCGGGGGATGGAACCCATGGTCTCCTTTATGCCAGGTAAATTCTCTACCAAACCCTAGTCCTAGAATCTGTTTCGTGTGTGTGTGTGTGTGTGTGTGTGTGTGTGTGTGTGTGTGTGTTACTGGGAATTGAACCCAGGGACAATTTATCACTGAGCACATCTCCAGCCCTTTTAATTTTTTTGATTTTGAGACAGGGTCTCACTCAATTGCTTAGGGAATTGTTAAGTTGCTGTGACTCTGATCTTGAACTTGTAATCCTTCTGCCTCAAGGCTCCTGAGTCCCTGGGATTACAGGCGTGGGCCACCATGCCCAGYTTAGAATCTGTTTTAATTCCTACTTTGTTATACTACTTTATTTACTCAGCAAACAAAAGAGCTATTAAACAATTACCCTCTGATGACAGCCCCTGGGGTTTGGGCTGGGCACACCAGGCAGCCATGGACAGCAGGTGTCCAGGTCATGACTCCGTTACTCAGCATCTTCCTGCTTGGAAACAAATCCTCCTGTGCTGGTGGCTCTGCTCACTATGCAGTTGTAACTTGTTTTATTCTTAACTATGTGTTAAGCAATACCCCAAAGGGTCCAGGAAATCAAAAGGAATACTGACATTGTTCACAACTAGGTAATGGGATACATGAAAATTATAAATTATAAAAGTACCTCAGGAGTTTTCTCTAGATTTGAAAGTTGTGATCTTTCAACTTCTATGGAAAAATCAAGCTGTTCTACTTTAAATATAATCTGAAAGAGAAAATATTGCAAGCAGTACATAATAAATTGATTTGCCAAGTATTATGCACTGAGATTATACTTTGACTTATTTAGAAATAAAAGAAGAAATTATTGAAGTAAACTAGTTGATTTTAGACACGTACAATGTGAAAATCCTGCATTCCTTATATCTATGTATTAGTAACACAAGGGTGATCTAAAGGCACTTGAAGCATGATAGCTAATGAATCAGATGAAATTATGGAGAATATTGATCCTTTTTAAATATAACTTTTAAATTTCAACATCTGTAAGTTATTTTCATGTGTATGCATGTTAATTTAGTAAAATATAGATAGTAATACAATGTCTTTCTGAATACATATATATATATTACAATATGGGTTTATTTATTAAGGAAAAATAACTAAAATTATACAAAGTGTTCTATGTTACAGGTACCATCTTAAGCACTTTGCAAAAAGTTACTTGTTTAATTCTCAACAGTCCTGTTAGACATAGGTATTACTGTTATAGAGACAGAAACTGAGGAACAGAAAATTTAAGTTGGACAGGGCCAGTTGGTAATTAGCAGAGCTGTGATTCTAACCCAGAGTGTATCACTCCATTTTCCATGTTCTTAACCATAGTGTTTATTGAGCACTGTTTGCCAGTGACTGTTCTAGGCTCAGAGGATATAGTCTTGAACCAAAGAAATAGTTTTTGCTCTCATTGGGAGAGACATGTGATAAACAAATAGATAATACATTAGGTAATGAAAAATAAACTAAATAAGGGAGTGGGGAGTTGTTTTAAGACCAGAATAAGGGGGGCTGGGGATGTGGCTYAAGCGGTAGCGTGCAGCCCAGGTTCGATCCTCAGCACCACATACAAAGATGTTGTGTCCACTGAAAACTAAAAAATAGATATTAAAAATTCTCTCTCTCTCTCTAAAAAAAAAAAAAAAAGACCAGAATAAGGGACCAGATGGGCCCTGTTTCAGTAGGATGATAAGGTGACATTTTGTGATGTACCTATCCAAAGTGTGAGTGAGCCATGAGGACATCAGAGGGAAGAGCAAGTGTACAATCTTTGAGCTGCGACTCTTATTGACATGTTAGAACATTGCCAGGAGGTTTTTCTTGGTGGAATAAAGTGGGAGAGGGAGGTAGCATTTGAAAAATAACACCTGGAAGACACCTGGATAAGGTCATGTTGTCTTATGGAGCAATGTAAAAATTTCGCCTTTTATTCTGAGTGAGATGAGAAGTCAGCACTGGGGTGTGAGTTTAGAAATGCCATGATCTGACTTTTGCTTTAAAACAAAGGATCACTGTAGGAAGATGTGTGGGAATAGACTACTTAGTTGACTATTGAAATAATTCAGATGGTAGATGATGTTGACATATCCTAGGACAGTGGTGATGCTGACTCAGGAGGCATTTGAAGATGGATTGGAAGAAGTTGCCCACAGATTTGATGTGAGGTATGACAGAACAGAGGAGTCAAGGAGGATGCAAAGGTTTTGGTCTGAGTAATGGAAAAAATGACTGGTTCTTAGAGGGAAAAGCAGGAGAGTATAATGTCCCAGAGGCCAAGTCAAATAGCCGTATCAATAAAGAAAAGGGATGATGTCAGTCTAAATGGCAAATTCTTTGAAAAATTCTGTCCTCCACAAAAACAATGAGGAAACTGGAAAAAATGGTGAGAACATACTTTTCTTCAAAATTCTGCAAACTCACCACAGTCTTTGCAGCCGCGTGGAAAGAACTGATGGCAGAAAAATGGCTGAATCTCATTAACAGCAGTAAGCTTTGCAGTGTTTCAGCTTGCTCTAGTCTTGTTCCTCTCTCTTCAGATATGTGGTAGCCTTGGAAAATAAATCTGCATTCCTGGTACCACTTGGCTGCCACGGGAGGGAGCAGAATAGAGCTGAAAAATCTTTCTCATTCTCAGAAAATTGTCATTATTTTACCTGTGTGGTGGTTCCCTGGGAGATCTCTTACAAAGATGCCTCTCTTTGACATGGCTTAAGCTCTCGCATTGTGAAAAGCTGAGAAACTGATGTGACTCCATTTTTGAGAAATCATCTTCTACCTCAACGCCTGTCCTAAGGAAGGGGGCATGATCCTTGTCCTGGGAAAAACCCACAGAGCACTCCTAAGCACATACCCACCCTGCTGAGTTGTTTGTCTGCAAATAACAGGAGAGATCTGTGGTGCCAGGTGTCCCTGACTCAGTTAGGCTAGGTGAAGACCCATAGCAACCCCCTAGCAACCACCAATCAGCAAGAGACAGGAAAAATACCTGGGATGCCAGATGACCCCTCAGTAGTTTATGGTGGTTGATAACATGTTGGGAAACCTTGTAGTTTAGCACATATACCCCTCGTGGCCTAAACCAATCAGTTCAAAGGAATCCCCCTCTTGTACTAACCAATCACCCCTACTCAACTTGTTTCCACCACTGAATGTGCTAATCAATGTTAAGAGTTGTTTGATTTTCCCACTGTATGGAATGATTTGCTGTGTGATGTTGTGACGCATAGAGTATCCCCCCAAAACCTATAAAATCTCACTGAACAAAGGACCAGGACTCACTCCCTGGGACTGCTGCATCGGGAATGGTTGTGAGTCCAGGCTCGAGCTTGCAATAAAGACTCTTGTGTGATTGCATCAAATTCAGCTCCTGGAGGTCTGTTGGGGTCCCATGAATCTGGCATTAAAAAGCCTTTTTCCAAGGGAGAATTTATGGGAAAAAAAATTACAGGTATGATTTTTAACTCTGCAGCTGCCTGTGGTAGTGGAGAACAGTTGGGGTAAACAATAGACTAACCAAAGACCTTACATGAATTGGTGGGAAATGAGATGTCCACGTGTTCAGGAAAGACCTGAGGAGGCCCTAGGAGCTCACTTTTGAATGATCTTGAGATTCTTTTCAAGCTGAAAGTTAGCTTAAGGCAGAGCTGTCAACTGGATGGCTGAGTGTTGAAGTCATGCCCCAAGGCACACAGAGAGACTGAACTGGTTGATTTATTGGTTCCAGGCATTTAAGGAAATCTGTGTCTTATCATTAGCTGAGTATTAGGGTGAGTACAGATTTCGGTGGCCACATACAACAAAACATACAGGCTTTACAATTTAATTTAGAAAAGTCATTAAACAAAGAAGAACTATAACAAGTAGCAACTATAGACCCTGGGAAGGGAGAAGAATATGATTTCCATAGATGTCACATTATGTTATTTAATATGTCCAATTTTCAGCAAAAATTATAACATGTAAATATACCAAAAAGTGTGACATATACCCAAGGTAAAAAAAATGAATTAATAGAGACATAAACAATGTTCCAGACATTGGACTCACTGGACAAAGACTTTAAATCAGCTGTTTTAAATATATTCAAAGAGCTAAATGAAGCTAAAGAAAATTAAAGTCTGAGAATAATGTCTCACATTATTACTAATAAAAACATAGAAATTATAAAAATAATTACAAATGTTCTGGAGTTGAAAAATACAGTTATCAAAATGAAAAATTCATTAGTGGGGCTCAACAGCACATTTGAGCAGGCTGGAGAAAAAAAATCAGCACAATTGAAAACAGGTCAATTATTAAAGAAACAGAGGGAAAAGAATGAAGAAAAATGAACAAGGCCTCAGAAGTCTGAGTACAATGTACCTATAATGTGAATCCCAGAAGGAGAAAAAGGTATAAAAAGAATATTTGAAGAGGGCTTAGGGGTAGAAATACTTGCAGAGAATGCATGAGACCCTGTGTTTGATCCCTAGCAGTGACACACACACACACACACACACACACACAATTTATTTGAAGAAATAATGGCAGAGATCTTCCCAATTTTGATGAAAACATTAATCTTCTTGTTTAAGAAGTACATACCTCCAAATAAAGTAAACCCAGACAGCTTTACAACTAGACAACATCATAACCATACTGTCAAAAGAGGGGGCTAGAAGGCTGTGACACGACATATTTAAAGTGAAGAAAAACAAAATGTCAACTAAGCATTCTATATCCAAAAGAACCATACTTCAGAAATGAAGGAGAAATTAAGACATTCCCATATAAACAAAAGTTGAGAGAATTAATCACTAACATATCTTCCCTATAAGAAATAAAGGATGCCCTCAGGCTTAAATGAAACAGCAACTAAAATTCCATATGAAACAAAGGAGTTTGGTAAAGGAAACTTCATAGGTTGAATATAAAAGGCAGTATAAATATATGTTTTCTTTATATTTTTTTTTACCTCTTTTAAAAAATAACTACAAAAACTGGGCGAGGTGGTGCATACCCATAATCCTAGCAGCTCGAGTGGCTGAGGCAGGAGGATTTCAAGTTCAAAGCCAGCCTCAGCAATGGCAAGGCACAAGCAACTCAATGAGACCCTGCCTGTAAATAAAATTCAAAAAAGTGCTGGAGATGTGGTTCAGAGGTCCAGTGCCCCTGGGCTCAATCCCTGATACCAATAAAAAAATAATAATAACTACATAAGACAATAATTATAAACTTATGGTGATGGGCAAACAATGAATAAAAATGAGTTTGTGTGACATTACAAAAGGGGGTAGAGAATGGAGCTATAAAAGTGTGAAGTTTTAATGTCTTATTGAAATTAAGTTAGTGTCAATCCAAACTATACTGCTATGTTAATTAATGAGAAAGAAGGAAGGAGTGATGAACTGTGATAGTCTCTGCTTCCTGATTCGACAGCCTGAGCTGGTTTCTTCTGCCATGATGTTCTGCCTCACTTCTCTCACAGAGCAATGGAGTCAGGTGTCTGTGGACTGCCACCTCTGAAACCTTGTAAGAACCACACTGTATGTGCTGAGTCATGCCCATCTTCAGGGAGTGTACAGTCTTGTGGGGAAAATATGTGAAAGCAATGATTGTACTTTTGAATGCTGATGCCTGTATAATAGGATGGCATACTTTATTTCCCACAGGAGATGGGAGCAATYAAGAAGACCTCACAGAATTCCCATTGTTCTGGTTCTGAAGCAATTATTTGACAGGGACATGGGAAACCATAAAGGAGAAGCTCAGCTAATAACAATATAAAGACACTTCTGATAAATAGAAACAGAATCAAGGGTGATTTAGGTTGCTTTAATCACTCTGTATGGATTTTTTAATTGTATTAATGATGATCACATTTGTGTTCCATTCAAAGGTTCATTTTATATAGATAAGTGCTTGCCAAGAATGTATAACATTAAAGTCAAAATAATGAAAGTACACAGATTATATATTCTACTTCTTTTTATATTATTTATAATTGGTCATGCAATTATATTTTTAATGTTTTAGGAACTGCTTCAAGTATGTGAAATCTAAAAGATAAAACTCAGGTCAATAAACACTGCTTTCTTATCAGGTGATCAATCAAAAGGAACAGATCAAAATCGATAATATTATTTTTAAAATGTTGGTGATAGTTTAAAACCTGAAAATTGACCATTTGATTTGGCAACATGAAAAGTCACCAGTGAGCAGTTTTAGGGGGATGATAGAGGCAAAACCTGTTGTAGCTTTTCATTACTGTGACACAATACTTGATATGATCAATTTCAGAGGAGGAAAGCTTTGTTTTGGCTCATAGTTTTTGATGGTTTCAGTTCATGGTCAGTGGGCTCCCTTGCTAGCTCATGGAGACAGCAGGTGGCAGGGGAAATTGCTTACCTCATGGCAGCTGGGAAGGAGGGAGAGGGAGAAGTAAAGGGAGAGGACGAGGAAGAACGAGAAGGAAAGGGAGGAAGTGGCTAGGGTCCAGGTATACCCTTCACGGACACACTGCTAGGTCTTACCTCTTGAAAGTACCACCACCTGCCAATACTGCTACAGGTTGGGGACCAAGCCCTCAACATGTGGGCCTTTGGGGGACATTTTAGATCCAAACAATAGCAGCCTGGCTAGATTTTGAAAGGATCAGAGAAAAGGAAGTAGAGACAATGAATATAGATAATTCTTCCAGGAGTTTGTTAAAAACGGCAGTAGAGAAATGCAGGTGAGTGAAGAGTAAGAGATATTTCAAGAGACTTGTGTGTTGATGAAAATGTTTTACCAGAGTGGGAAAAACTAAGGGCCTCCTCTGTCTTTTTAGTAAAGAAGAAATTGGGAGATTAGAAGGAAATGTTTAAGAGTATCAAGTTCCTTACCAAAATGTCCCAGGCACAGACATTGTTGTTTATTGGGAGAATATGTATGTATATATGCATATGCACATTTTAGTGTTTTATTGAATAATACTGTACTAATATATTATCCCGGTTAGGACAGCAATACAAAAATATAAAATTTTAGAAGTTTTAAGATAAATTTGAAAAAAATATTAAGATGACATCAGCTGGACTAGGTACAGCTGGACTAGGTACAGCTGGATTAGGTACCCTAAATCCCAGAATGTCAGGAAGCTGAGGCAGAAGAACTGCAAGTTCAAAGCCAGTCTGGGCAACTTAGCAAGACCCTGTCTCAAAATAAAAAACAAGGGGTTGGGTCATGGCTTAGTGGTAGAGTGCTTGCCTGGCATGTGTGAGGCCCTGGATTCAATCCTCAGCACCACATATAAATAAAATAAAAAGATCCATTACAACTAAAATGATATTTTAAAAAACAACAAAAAAATAAAGGTTAAATTTCTAAAAATAAAATTTTAAAAAAGGTCTGGGGGTGTAAGCAGTGGTATAGTGCCACTGGGTTTAATCCCTAGAACTTAAAAAGAAAAGGCATATGATCATTAACTAATAGCTTAAGGAATGACAGATGCTCAGAATGAGGTATCTAGTGAATGAAATCCATGCTTCAAATGTTTTCTTGCTATTTTTGAGTTTTGTGGCTGTCTTATTAGCTACAGTTAGATCCATCCTTGTTCCTACCTTGCAGAGAGGCTGACAAGGAAGAGTAGTAAAGACTGTTATTAATTTATTGTTCACCTTACCTGTCATTATTAGTGTTATCTTCAGTCTGGACTGTCTTTGCACATATCTTTTAAAAAACATTTTTATTATGTGGAATTACAAACATACGTAGTCTATATTACATTATGTTCATTAAACCCCATGTACCCATCATTCTCCTTCCATAATTATCAACTCATGACCATTCATGACTCAGTCCTGTAATATTTTAAAGCTAAGTCCATACATCATATTATTTTATCTGAAGTAATTTGGTATCTCTCAAATGTAAGGACTCTTAAAAACCTAACTACAGTATCACTATATCATTTGAAAAGAAAAAGAATTTGCAGGAAACCTTAACTTGCAGGATTGGGGAATGCTTTGCCAAAATAATAATAAAAAAATAGGGCAGGAAAAAGAAATGTGATTTACCATAATAGAGCAGAAGTCATTATTTCTCAAGGAGTAGGTATTAACCTAACAAAGATGCGTTCTTTTCAAAGACTAACTGAGGAGCATTTCTCTAGTAAACGAGACTGGTTGTCCTTGAAAATAAAACTTATATTTGTGGTGGTGGGTTATGCTTGTTTTCAGATACTTCAGGAGAGAAATTGGCCCTAGCATTGCTGGTAGAATGCGACTGAATTGGGCGGAAGCAGCCAAGTAGTTCTTTTTCCCTCATTTGTGGAACCAGCGCATCACATTCCCCCCCCCCCCACTTCAATCAGCAGAAGCAGAGTTGTTGAAAATCACAACCTGTTCCTATTGCAGTCTGAGGGGGTAGAGTGGTAAGATACAGGGGTGGATGAATCCTAGTGTGGGGGTCACTAGATGGGAACACTTGGAAGGCCACAGGCAATATAAAGAACAATTAGTGTAGTAGGGAGAGGTGAGCACCCTGAGAAGGCCTTGAGGCTTGGCTGGTTTTTTTCTCCTGTGTGGTGAAAGGGAGCCAAGGTATGGACCTTGGTCCAAACGTATCTTCGCTGTGTTCTTCAAGTGGCAGCTCTGATGTGCCACCCACTGACTGAAGGKACCGCAGGCGCTCTCCTCCGGGCTTAGCTCCTTCCACCTGTTGGCCTGTCCCCAGCTGTTAGGAGAGCCGCACCTCTAGTCATCAGTGAGGAGGAGAACAGGTGCCTCAGCTCTAAATTCCGCCCCAACCCAGCAAAGGCTGTTTTGAGAATAGTGCTGTCACAAAGTAAACACAATTAGCCTAAGAAGAAAGCTGGATAAAGTAGGAGGGCCAGGACACTAGAGGTGGAAGTGCGTTCTGCTTTGGCTGCCTCGCTTTCCCCTTCCCAGAGTGCTTTTCATGGAAATCGGTAAGAGGCCCTCTCCATACAAAGATGGGAAAAGGTGCAAAGCTCGCCGGTTCCTCAAAGTGCACCGTGCCCCTAGCAGTCGCCTGCTGTGCCTCTCGCTTACTCTCCCAGGCCCTTTCGGAGCCCCAGCTAGCATTCGCAGGGACGTGACGTGCACGTGGCCAGTCAGTGCGGATGCGCCGGAAAAGGCCTGGACTCAGGACGCAAGCGCGCGGGCCACAAACGCCGCTTTTTTAACTAGGGGAAAGGGCAGCAGGGCCGTGGGGGGGGGAAGGAAAATGGGAGGGACTCTGCCCGCCATAGTAGCATCCCATTGGCTGATCTCGCTCCGCCCTTGGTTTCGATTGGCTGCGGCCGCGCGCAGGGCCCAGCACGCTCCCCCGCCCTGCGCCGTGCGGCGATGGGTAGGCTACGACGGCACAGCCAATGGGAGTAGCTTGGAGGGGCGGGGCCAGTCAACGCGGGGTCTCATAGGGCGCCAGCGAGTATGGTAAACAGACCCCGAGCGCGTGTTAGGCGCCCGCGTTGGCACGTACCGAGCGGCGCGAAGGTGACCGAGATCTCAGCTTAGTGCCTCCGGGTAAGGCTGCCACCCGCGGGCCTACAGCGTGCTCGGGCGCCTTCCGGCTGAGGCAAGTGCTGGCCTCACCACCTGTCCAGGCCATTCTTGCAGCCTCAGGTGACAGCGCGGGTTCCTGCTGCGAGTTTCTCTGGTCTCTGAGCTCCGTAGCGGGTTGCACTGGGTGCGCTTCAGGTGCAGGGTAGGGGCTGTGCAGTGGTCTCCCACCCGCGTGCCCACCTCGGCCAGCCCGCCTTGTTTCGGGGAAGGCACAAAGCCGTATGTCTGGAATGCGACCCAGCAACCGGGAGGCGCTGCCACCTCCAGCTGGTGTCTCTTGTTTGCCAGTATAGTTTCCCTGCTTCGTTTTCTCATAATTACATGTGTTTTAATTTCCAGGTCCCCTCCTACCGTGTGTCTGGGAACTCTAACTGCTTGTGCTGCAGGTTTGTAAGAACTTTGACCTCCTTAAGGGGATCCAGCTGTTGGGTTTCACAGGTGGGGGTTTGGGGTGAACTTGGGAACCTTGTTAGTTCTTTCCTCCATTTGCTTTACTTTGATCCTTCCTCCTATTTTTCCAGGCACTGGAAAATATTATTAGTGGTCTGGGCTAAATTTCCTAAGCTAGACTTTCCCTGGCTCTTGTCATTCATGCACAGTGGCAACATCTCTTTCTGCCAAACTACGCTTGTTTTCCCATGTGTAGGGTGAAGGAGAACGCTCCAGAGGCAGGTCTGAGTGTTAGGAGTCTCCATTTGGATGAGAGATGTCATATTCCTGAAGGGTGAAAGTCTTTGTGTGTCCTAAGCCTGGGTTGGGCTTGCAGCCTGTTGGAAAACTTGTCCATGCTCACTTGGGCCTTCATCTGCGTGACAGGACTCAGGAGCTGGGCATTCCAGGCCTACCTCCTTGCCAAAGGATTTGAACATGCATTGATGCCAGCTTACCAGTTGTGCTGTGGATAGGTGGGTCATACTGGCAGGACGACTATTGAGAGGAAGCCCCTTCTCAGGAGAAGGGACAAAAAGGAGAGATGGTTCACAGGAGGATCATCTTTAAGACTGAAGTGACAGTTTTAGGTGTTTGATTTAGCCTTGCAAGTATGCAGACAATGCAGAATTGTTGAAATTGTTGGCCTGACCTCAGATGATTCAAAGGAAAAGTGAAATGGCAGTCTGGACACCTTTCTTAGAGCTAGTGCATCACTTAGGATAGGGTTTCTCAACCTCCAAACTATTGACATTTTGGACTTATGATTCTTTGTTGTGAGGGACCGGTCCTGTGCATTGTAGGAGGTGTAACAGCATTTTTGGCAAAGTAGCCACCCTGATTCTCTGTCCCACCAGTTGTAACAATTGAGAATGTCTCCAGATATTGCAAAGGTCTCCTGGAGGGAAAAATTGTCTTTGATTGACAACCACCCAGATAAGACTAAAAAGGGTCATCTCATGCTTCCAGAGGCCTCTCTCAGACCTGCCCAGGAGTAGTTGAGAGGTTTAGAGAGAGGGCAGTGTTATGCCACCTGCCGTAAGCAAACAGTAGAAGCTGTGCATATGGAGCTTTAAAGGAGTCCTCACCTGAGCACTGGGTGGCAGAGGTGAAACCTGCCAACAGAGAGAAGGTAGAAATTCATGGACATTTACTGTGTCTGTAAGGATGTGTAGTGGTGACTAGTGGGGTTGGGAGTTCTGAGGAAGTGGAAGACCAGTAGTTTCTGTCTTTGGGGATCTTGCAAGACTCTGGAATATATGCACATGAAGTGACCATTGGCCACTTTTTTAGTAATGAGCTAACAAGTGTAAGCTGCCTGAATGTTGGCAGAGAGGTCAGTTCATTTAACAATAAGCAACTTTTCCAAGGTGGTGCTTTACTCATCCTTACTTTTTGCTCACACATCTCTGTGTCTTGTGGGAGGAGGCCAGGCGTGTGTGTTCAGGGAATAAGTGTCTGGCTGCATTTAAAACATACATGTGTGTACACCCCCCTCCACCTGCCCTTCTAGGAGTTTAATAATGGTGCAGCATGGTAATCTACTATTTGTGGAATTCCTCTATAGTTGATCATTATTATCAATGACAGCCATTTATTTTTGTGCAGAGAAAGATGCTTTACTTCTGAGTCTACATTTTGCTTAGATTTAGCCCAGAATTTATGCCCTCATCTGAGTCTCAATATAGTGGACATGTAGAGAACCTGAAAAAAAAAAAAACAGTGATTATTGAGTAGGGAAAGGAAAACATCCCAAGCACCTACTATGAATTTCTGTTTCTTTGTTTTTAATTTAATCCTGTAGGAATATATCGGGAATTTCCTGCAACACTTCTTGGTCAGTTACGAGGTCTTTTGGGTGCCCTTTGTTGCCTATAGAAAAGGATTAGGAAGGGAGGTCACTTCTCCTTTCTCAAAGAGAAGTTTGGAGACGTCTATTATTGGGAAGCTCAAAACTTGGCAGGATAATTTTCCATCAAGGGCCATGGACACTGAGTCATTATCTTTGTCAGTTGAAACAAGAGCTGTGTGCAAAATTAGACTGGAATATTTAGCTAAAGAGTTGTCTTGATCTGACAACTGGAAATAGTTCCAGCATTCCTGTTAAATAACAGTCGAGACTTGGGGAGAGCCAGTGCAAGTGGGGAGCTCAGGGTCCAGTTTCTTCCAGAATTATACATGTGGGAGGGGTGAAGCCAGGGAGACAATTTGAGAGAAGGGATGGTGGCACATCCCAGGACTTAAGGACAAAGGGAATGTAGAACTCAAGTCACAGACTAAGAGAATATATACAGGTAGAATTTATAGACTAAGTGGATACAGGGCTGCGATTTCTAGTTGAGGAGAGAAGCTGAGTGATGGTGACTGTACCCTTAGAGGGTACAGAAAGAGCAGGAGGAGCAGGTTTGGGGGAGATGGTGATGTTAGTGTTAGACATGATGGAGCTGAGGTACCTGTGGGTCTATTTTTTCCTATTCTTGTTTATTAAGATATAATTGGCATGTGGTAAATTTTCCCTTTTTAATATGTAGCCCTACACAGTTAGATGGATGCATATAGTAACATAACCACTCACAATCAAGGTGTAAAACAGTTCCATCACCCTCCAGCATAGAGCATCTTTGTAGTTAACTGAGAGATTTGAATGAGACTATATGGCACAGACGTGTGTATCTTGTTTTTGTTCTAGAATTGCTTTAAGTGGGTAAGAGGGCCTCCTGGCTTAAGAGGGAGGCAAGCCTTTTTATTAGCTAGCTGTGGAAAGGCAGAAGCAGCAATGTGCAGAGCAGGGAGTCAAGAGGGCCTAGGGCCAGTCATGCTGTGGAACAGTGAAGGAGGAGGCCAGAGAGAGTGCACAAGGGAGAGTTTCTGGGTCTGTGGAGCTGGCAGGAAACTCTGTGAAGGGTGTTGACAGAGGCCGGATGAAGCGACCTACTAGCTTAGACCATCAGTTGTCACAGAGGGCAGCTTGGGGAGCAGGAGAAACAAGTGCACCATCTTTGGGAGTTGTTAGCGGTGAAGGAGAAACGTCAGCAGAAGTTGTTTGGTGCAGGAGAGCTGAGAATGGGTTTGTGGGCTTGAGGGGGAAAGGCTTTTGTGGAAGGTGAAATTGAGGGCAGAAGAATACATAGCTCTTAGAGATAGGTTAGGGAGGAGAACGTGTGGGAAGAACTAGGAATTTGAGGATATTCGGGGAAACAGGTCTGCTATGGAAGGAGTAACAGAAAGCCAGACCCAGTTTCTGTCATAGGTGTCTCAGGGTCCTGCCTCTGCCATCCTTTGAGGAGCTGGTTGCTCCTGATAGAAGCAAGAGTATGTGTAGAGGGGAGGCAGCTCTACAGCTCAGAGTTTCCCCTCTCTACCTCTGTGCTACTCACTGGATTCTCCCAGGCTTATTTACTGAGCATGGCCACTCCACTTTTCTACCTCTCCATCTTTTTTGAAACATCTGGGGAGTCTCCCCCTGATATAGGTATATTCATAGAGTATAGGCATATTCATAGAATATACCTAGTTCTTTTGAGCATTATCCTTTGCAGACTCTGTTAAATCCATGTTTCTAGGACTATCCCTGTGTGTCTCCTTGTCAATTCTCTGTGCTCCAGGAGTAAACGGCTTCTTCTGAATCCCTGGAAATTAGAGACCATCCTAGGTCAAGTGCCATATTTTACACATGAGGATATAGGACATGCAGACCTGAGGAGAACTGATGTGCCTGTGTGTAACTTGGTTGGTGAGCTGGGCCTGGAATCCCTGGGTCCTCCCTGTCAAGCCTCATCCCATTCTGTGTATTGTCCAGAGCTAGAGGACCTGGTAGCAGTGTCCCTACCATCTACTGGGCTGGATGAGAGGTCCAAGGGACTGTTCATATGAAAAGAAATGTCAAAGTCCAGAGCCTGGGGTTGGTCCCACTGTTTGTTCTTTGGCACAATTTTTGCTTGGCACTGATTCTGGCTCAGAGGAGGGTGAAGGAAAGAACAGGTTGCCTGGTAAGCTGAAGGTGGTTACTGTTTGACAGGTGCTTGAGCAAACAGCTCAGATCTTTCTAAGATTGAGAAGAAACTCGCTGACTCTTGCTCCCTAGGGTGTTTATAACCGACACTTGGCCCAGCAAAGGGTGGAAGCTGTGCCACAGCCAGGTTGGCTGTATGGCCCACTCATGCCTCCGTGGAGCATGGTTGACAGGCCAAGGCAGACTTGCCCTCTGGGGAGGAGGATCTTTCTCCTCCCCGTCCTTTCCTCTCACTCTTCATATAGACAAGGAATGGGGCAAAATAGAGGTGTATTTGTGTCCAGCTCATGAACAGCTCATGAAGCTGGCATGGATACTTCCCAGCGTGGCTCCTGTAAAAATCTCTTTAGACAAGGGATGTTGCTATTGCCATGTATGTAGCTGTGCATACCGAGGGGTTCAGGGTGATCACCAACAGAAAGGACATTTCCTTGGGTTCAGCAACCCTGTTGTAAGGAGCATGGGCAGGTATTTATGTCTGCCCCGTTTCTAAGGCACTTCAGGGCAGCTGCCAGCACTCTGCTGAGTGCTGTCTCATACCACAGTGCCAAATAAACCACACGAGTCCTCAAGAGAGGGTGAGCCCTGCCTGCCTCCCTGACTTAGACTGGATCCTGTACCGGGAACGTGGAGCTGGGGATATAAATAAAGGGATTACCAGGCTGATCTCATCCATGTTCAGGCTGAATCTCATTCCAGAGTGTCTGTGTGGTTGAATTTATACATTTTATCTATATATAAGTAAAATTATTATCTTTTGACAAAAAGTCTCCGTCTAAGTTGCCCAGGCCAGCCTTGAACTTTTAGTCCTCCTGCCTTAGACTTCCAAGTAGCTGGGATTATGGTGTGTGCCATCGCACCTGGCTTGTTGCAATAATATTAATAATATCAGCTAAGGATTTTTTTTGTGTGTTTTTGGTGCTGGGGATTAAACCTAGGGCCCCC